CTCACCGAGTCGTCATTTCCAGCCTCAGCACGTGGCTAGACCCAAGGGCAGGAGTTACTAATTTGGCAGCACAAGGAGCCTCTAGCCAAAACCAACTAACTGTCTCCTGGCATGGTGGCCAGAGCTGGGGTGTGAGTGGGGAAGGGCATGAGTGGGGAAAGGGTGGGGGTGGTGAAGAGTCTTTCAAGTGGTGAAATAAGCAGCAATGTAGGGATCAGATGTAGTATTGAGCTTCTTTTTTTTTTTTAATAAATTTATTTATTTATTTTTGTCTGCGTTCTGTCTTCGTTGCTGCATGCGGGCTTTCTCTAGTTGTGGTGAGCGGGGGCTACTCTTCGTTGTGGAGCGCAGGCTTCTCATTGCGGTGGCTTCGCTTGTTGCGGAGCACAAGCTCTAGGTGCACGGGCTTCAGTAGTTGTGGCATGCAGGCTCAGTAGCTGTGGCTCACAGGCCCTAGAGCACAGGCTCAGTAGTTGTGATGCACAGGCTTAGCTGCTCCACAGCATGTGGGATCTTCCCCGACCAGGGCTCAAACCCATGTCGCCTGCATTGGCAGGCGGATTCTTAACCACGGAAGCCCCATGGGCTTTCTCTAGTTGCGGCAAGTTGGGGGGCTACTCTTTGTTGTGGTGCACGAGCTTCTCATTGTGGTGGCTTCTCTTGTTGCGGAGCACGGGCTCTAGGGAGAGCGGCCTACAGTAGTTGTAGCACACGGGCTCAGTAGTTGTGGCTCGCGGGCTCTAGAGTGCAGGCTCAGTAGTTGTGGCACATGGGCTTAGTTGCTCCGCGGCATGTGGGATCTTCCTGGACTGGGGTTCGAACCCATGTCCCCTGCATTAGCAGGTGGATTCTTAACCACTGTGCCACCAGGGAAGTCCCAAGCAGAACAGTTTATTGGCTATTTGTATTCGTACATGTGATTTATAGGCCTCAGATTTTCCTGTTTCCCAGGCCATGCAAATATTGGACAGACCTGAGGATGGGAAGACAAAATGACATGGGGTCAAGAGGAACACAGGGGGTGATGTCAGTCCTCCTCACAGATCTCCTCCCACCTTCTGAAATCCCCCTGTGCTCCCCACCCTGCCCCTCCCCACTGCTACCCCCAGCAGCTTGCCAGCTGGGAGGGTCCCCTACCTGGGGCAGCTCTTAGCCAAGGATGGGGTGCTGAGGGAAGAAGAAAGCCTCGCTCCCTGGCCTCTGGTAGAGGGGTTCCAAGGAAGATTTTTTTTTAATTAATTAATTTATTTGTTTTTATTTTTGGCTGTGCTGGGTCGTCCTTGCTGCGCGTGGGCTTTCTCTAGTTGCGGGGAGCGGGGCCTACTATTCACTGCGGTGCACGGGCTTCTCATTGCAGTGGCTTCTCTTGTTGTGGCGCACGGGCTCTAGAGCTCAGGCTCAGTAGTTGCGGCGCACAGGCTTAGTTGCTCTGCGGCATGTGAGATCTTCCCGGACCAGGGCTCGAACCCGTGTCCCCTGCATTGGCAGGCGGATTCTTAACCACTGTGCCACCAGGGAAGCCCCTCCATGGATGATTTTGCTGCAGAGATAGCATTGGTGTGGCCTCAGCCTTGCCTGTCTCCTCCCTTCCCCTGTCCTGCTTCCTACTCCCTGCTGGTTTCTCCCCAGAGCACTCCTGAACAAATCACTGGCACAAGAACCTCCTCTCAGAGTTTGCTTCTGAGCATCTGATGGAAGATAGGCTTTGGAGGGTTTCAGTTTTGTTTTGTTTTCTGTTTTGAAGGAAGGAGAAATTACAGCGTGTTTTGTATGCTCAGGGGGATGACATGGGAGAGAGGGGAAGGATAACAGAGAAGAAAGGAGATAGAGGGAGGGCTGTGCAGGTGACATCTTTGAGTAAGCAGGATGGCATGTTTCCTGCACAAGGCACTGACTCTTCGGAGTAACACGGGCAGCTCACCCACTGTTGATGGGAGAGAAACCAGTGAATGAGGGTTAAGGTGCCTGTGGGTGGGGAGACTTGGTGATGGAAGGTGGAAGTCTCTTCTGATCACTTTGCTTAGAGAAATGAGTGAGACAGACCATCAAATGAAAGTGAGGGGTGTGGAGGATCATAGTGGTCTGAGCAGACAAAAGAAGGTTTAAAATAGTCTGAGAAAGCAAAAGGGTGACAGAACTAGGGAAATGTCACACAATTTCCAGGAAACACTGAACACCTATTTGAGGTTTGTGGTCATCGGCTTCAAGTGAGCCCAGCCTGCAACATTGAGGTTTTACACCAGCCCTAACCAAGAATTCCAGTACAAACGTGGAGGAAGCAGACATATACGATTAGCCAGTCTGGATTCTAGGACCGAAGGAAAGGCAAGGGTGTTGAGGGTTGGGGCAAGAGAGTGAGTTTAATGATGACACACGGACTCTAGCTGGGTAAAGAGGGAGTAAGGGAGTGAGGGGTGATGCTGACATTGGAAAGATGGCAGATAGGGTCAGTGGACTGACTAGAGGCCCCTGTGGCTCTGAAGACAGCTGAAGGGAGGGTCCTAGAGGAAGTGAGATGTAATTGTAGGAGGTGGTTGTCAGAGAGGGGCACACTTGAAGCTGAGACTCGGGTGGAAGTACAGATATTGGTAATGACAAAGCGTACTGGATTCGTGACTGAGCGGACATGGAGGTTGGGCTCACTTAAAGGGGGTGGGGTAGATCAGGGATAAATGCAGAGTGAAATAATGCGAAAGTGTATGCCAAAATAGAATTATAAGCGAATGAACTCTTCTTTGTGTGTTCTTGTATTTCCTAATCTATGCTACATTTAAAAGTGCAATGTAAAGTTCATCACTTTCTGTGGGCACCCGGATGTGAGCACAGAAGTTATGTGGCGGTACTCAAATACGAGGTGGTCATACGGAAGAGAAGGGCACTTGTATTAATTTTTAAAGATTACCCCCACAAGGAATGACAACATTTAAAAATGACAACATTTAAAAATGAAGGGCACTTGTATTAATTTTTAAAGATTACCCCCACAAGGTATGACAACATTTAAAAATGACAACATTTAAAAATGAAGGTGGAGGACTCTCAGACCCTGAAGATAAATCCACAAAAACCTAAGGGCCCAAGAATTTCAGGTTGAGAACTGGACTCTGTCACTCAGAAAGTATCCGACCTGGAAAACTTTGTTAATCCGATGTGGCACACAAGTCGTCTATAAAATGAGGTCAACGTCTACTCGGTTCACCTCAGCGGAGACTTGATCACTGATCTTCGGCTGCCACTCAGCCTATTCACTGTTGTGTTAAACTGATCAGTCTGGTCTGATTGGTCAGTAACCACAATGTACTAGTTGCGTATATGTTTAAATTACCTGAGTACTGGGGGAGTAATTATATTGCTAAGGGAAATGCCACGATATCAAACCTGCCCACCACCACGGTGAGTCCCTGAAGCAGATGCCAGTAGGATGCTATAGTGACTAATAGTCCTAATAATGCTATACACCGGTACTATCATTATTAAATAACTAATAGTTGCATAATACTCTATCAAAAGTTTTCATGTCTTTCATTTTGTTTGGTAGAAGCCAAACTTTTGAGCAATAAAGAGAAAAGAAAAGAAAAAATGAACTACAGCTCTTGTAGACTGAACAAAACTAAGCAAAATATACAGAAAGCTTATTCCATCTGCCATTTCCATCACAAATGTCTGGACAGACAACGGCTGTAGGCACTGCCGAATGGTTGTAATCAGTCACTTCCTTTTGTCTCTGGACTCTACATTCACACACACACACACAAATACAGACAAGGGCCAAGTGTGTGTATGCTCCATTTAGGAAAAATAAGCCCAGAACGATTGCACTCCTGCTGTCTGTATAGACCCATGACTCACAGGCGTACATGTCTAGTGATTCCTCACATGCTTGCTGGAGGCCTCTGTAAAGAAAGTTCATGGCAAGTTTCCTGATTCTAGAGTTTAACCCTGCACAAGCACTAAGTTCCAGTGAAACAGAAATATAAAATAGACCACAGGCCCAGGACTGCAACATCAAGCCCCACATATTTCTGACGCAGGAGAATTCATCACCTGTGTTGCCCAGCCGGACTCAGAACCAAGAGCTGGCCTGGTTGTTCCTCAGTCAGAGAATATCAGCGGCTGTTGCTACTGTTGATTTGAAGCTAAAAGTCAGCAGGAATTAGATGCAAAGGAACTCAAACTCTGCTACTTCCATTAAGGTTACTACCAGAATGCTGCTACCATGGGCCTTGTAGGCACCACGCCACAATTAGATTTAAACCTTAATCCTCCCAACAGATAATACTTCTCTGCTTTACAGATAAGGCTCAAAAAACTAGCTTGACTTAGTGTCTCAGAGCAAGGAAATCACAGCATATAACAGAAACCCGAGGCTTCTCTCTCCAGACCCTTTGTGCTTTCCTTTGTACCAAATCATCCTTCAACTAGCAAAGGACTGTTCAATGGCCAAAAGCTGCGTATATCCAATGGGACAAAGACGGTACCCCCCCGCCGCTGTTAGCTTTGACTTGTAAGAACAATGATTTTGGAAGATCATCCTGGCATATATATGAGATTTGTTTCCTTGGTCAATCTACATTCAAATCCATGTAATTACCAGCTACATTATAACAAGGTTCTTATGAATATTTCTCATTGCAAATTTGCCAGACATTAATCTGACTTTCATAAAAATAATTATAAAATCAAGCATCACTGAGTTATTTTTTCTTCATTCTCTGACATCTTTCATGAGCACCTACATATCCAAGAAATGTTCCTAAAGTCCTGTTATGACCCATGACATTCCAGTTCAGTTAAGTGGGAAATAAAATCCTGTAAACGATAGCTGGCTGGACGTTGTAGCAAATCACTCTGTCTCCTTGGGCTTTAGTTTCTTCACCTATAAATGAAGTCATTAACCACAGGACTTTCAATCTCCCTCCTTCCAGGAACTAACATTTAATTCCTTCCAAGAATTAAAAATCCCTCTTGAAATTAAAAAAAAAAAGTTCAGTACATAGGAGTGTTGACAAACTTAATTTTTAAAGTATCAAGGCTTCCATACAGAGCCTCCCCCTCCAGAAGGCATAGCCAGACACTGCCTGGCCAGAGAGAGCAACAAGCCCTGTGAAAATCTTCAGTCCCTGAGGCCGCCTCTTTCTTCATCACTTTGGGTCAGAGGAGCAGAGCATGTTAGAGCTAAGGCAGGGGCTGTTGACTACGGTCAGCTGCCAACCCTGAGGACTCTGACCAAGAGAGATGCTGTGTGCAGGTTTAGTCCTGATTCAAGCCTCACCTGAAGCCACTCTCCACGTTCATGTGTTTTCAGGTGAAAGAAGCAACCAATTTTCTTTTTTGCTTTAGTTAGTGTGAGGTGGGTGTTCTGTCAGCGATGTCTGAAAGGTCGTGACCAACATGGAATTTAATAGAAGGTTGTAAAGTTTGTGCTCACAGAGCAGCTGAACGTGTCTGTCTTCACGCTGAGCTGTCATCTTCCGAGAGCCAACCCTGTTCCCAGCCCAAGAGAAACATTGCCTGCAGAAACACCTTCCTTACACTAAAGCAGGAAATGGGTGTGGCATAGATCAAATTTTAGGGGAGAACAAGGAGAAGGTCATTGAACCATGATCACGTCATTATCAAGTGTCCAAAACAAGACCATGCAGAGGGGACACAGAATTTTAACAAGGGGTGAGCATATACAGAAGGGAAATCTAAGCGCAGTCAGGGCCACGAACAGTGGTTCTGAGCTAAAAGGAACCTTAAAATACACCAGGTCCCACCTTTTACTTCACAGATGCACAAGCCGAGGCTAATCACCTTTATCTCGGGGTGCACAACTGAATTCAAGACTACAGTCCAAGGCTTCAACAAAGAAAGTTTTCTACCATTTAGACTTATCCAAAAAAAACAAACAGATTTTATTGTGTCAGAAAATAGGGCATGTTCTTCTACTAGAAAGACAGGCGGAGGCCAGCTCACTACCTGTCACTGATTTCTATGACAGGTGGGAGGTTGGAAGCAATGCCCAAAGGGTTCTTTCAAGTTTAAGCGTCGATCAAAACTTTCTACTATAGTAGAAGTTCTTCCTGTGGCACAGGGAATACTACTTTTTTACGTAGTGTGAAAGCAGGCTGAGGCATCTGTTTTTTTGTTCCGTGTCTGTCCGCTTGTCGACTCACATCATCGTTGACAGCAGTGAGAATGGATAAGATATCTTCCCGTCTGCAGGCAGAAAAGAAAATATATTTTCAACCAGGAGATAGAAATCACATACCAGGTCTTAGAAAACAGATTTTAAAATACGTGGCTTCTTCCCAGTCTAGCATGCCAAGATTCTAACTGGAATTTTACCAAATATAAAGAAACATTTTTTCTGAAATTAAAAAAGAAATGCTAAATTATATAAAATTTTTCAATTCTACAGTCAGTATTTAAGAACAACATAATAATAATCACACCTTGAATTTTAATGCACTTAGTCCACAAAGACATTTTGCATATAATTATTTTTCTGTGTTCTTCCTTGAAGCTGGTAGGTAGGTAGGTAGATAGATAGATAGAGAGATAGATAGAATAGGAGGTGATAGAAATACACATAGAGAGAGCCTACTATTAATAATACCCTCTCTATTCTAGGTTTTGGGAGGGATAAAGGGCAAACATGACACAATTCCTGAACTTAAACACTTAGAATACAGACATGAAACATGTACCAAGGATAGCATAGAGACAAACTCCATAATACAAGGCAGAATGTGATCAACACCGCATGAAAAGTAGGTCAAAGTTCCCCTGCAAATTCTGAGGAGAAGACAGTGCCTCTGGCTGGGAGAAGAAGAGAAGACTCCATAGAGGAGGCAGCATTTGATCCAGGGCTTGTGGGCATTTACCAGAATGTTCTGGGGGTGGGCAATACATATCACTGGAAGCAAGGCATAGGCTCTGGAGACAGAACTCAAGTTTGAATCATGCCTTCATGACTGGTTCTCAGCACCTGCATCCTGCATCACACTAGCTGTTCTCTCTGTCCCCAGATCTCCCTGTGGCTGACTCTTCATTCAGTCTTACTTGAAATATCGCCTCTACCAGGAAGCCTTCTTAGGTAGCTCCCTGCTCCACACTCTATATCGTTATCCTGTTTTGCTTTTCATAGCAGGTATTACTTCCCAAAATTATCTCACTAATTCATATGTTCATTTACTTACATTTTTATTATCTGTCTTCCTGTCACTAAACGGTAAGTCCCATGGAGAAGAAATTTTGTCTCTCTTGCTCACAACAATACCCCGAACCCCCAGCTCGGTACCCAGTACAGTAGGCACATAGCAGGCCCTTGATAAATAGTGCATTTTCCCTGATGCCATAGGAATTGGTCTTTGATGGAGAGGTTGGTAAAGAAGAAGGAAAAGCCAAGGTGACTCAAGGCTCCCATCCTGGTTCCCAATCCTGAATTCCCAGAATTGGAACCGTTCCTAGCAATGGGGATTCAGGAGTAGGAACCCCTGGAGAGGGCTAAGAAGATGAATTCAGGACCGTGCATACTGAATGTGAGGCCCAAAGGCAACAGAGGCGTGGGATGTCTAGCAGGCTGTGAGAAATGCATGGGACTGACCCGAAGAATGAGGTTGACTCAACCCAGCACTCACTGGTCCAGCAAATGCTTATCAACCTCAACAATGTATCAGGTACTATGTCGGGTGCCGAGGATATAAGGTTAAGTGAAACATCTCTGCCTTTCAGAAACTCAGAGATGGCAATTTGGGACATGTTTTCATGGAGTTGCCAGTGGCCGCCAGGTATAGCTAAAGCTGCCAAAAGGGGCTATAGAGAGACAGCAAAGGAGAGGGGCTGGGGCAGAACCTTGGTGAATGCCCATTTCCATTGTGCCAGGTAAAGAGCATGTGACAGAGACAGAAGGAAAGTTGTCAGAGCAGTGGCAGGAAACCGCGGGTATTATAATGCCAAAGGCAGCACACGGACATCCAGTAAATGTAAGTGATTGATACTAAATAAAGGAAGGAACGAATAAAAGGCCTCCCTGCCTACACTGATGCTGTTCCCTCTCCCCAGAATGTCTTTCACCCTGATTATTCACCTAACATCTATTTGGCATCTCTAGAAGCTTCCCCTGATCCTCCAAATCTGGGTGAGGTGCTAGTTCTATATGTTCCCATAACACGTATGCTTTACAATGTATATTTACCATAGGGAATGATCTTCCCCATATACTTGTCTGTCTTTCCAGATTGTGTGCAACTTGAGGACAGGGACTGTGTCTTTTGTTAAATTCTGTATCTTCCTTTCCAGTTACGTGCCAGTGCTCAATACAGGTGTGCTGGATGGATGGATGGATGGATGAATGGACGCATGGATGGAGGCATGGGTGGGTGGATAGATGGATGAACAGGTAGGTGGATAGATGAATGAATGCATAGGTAGGTGAATGGAACAACTCAAAACTCTCACCTTGGGACCAAGTCCTTCAGATGATTACACAGAGATTGGATATACCAGCTACCTTCCTCCACGTGCCGAAAGGACACGTAGCCGGGGACAGTGGCCAGGCCAAGAAGGAAATCCGCCTCAACGGGAACACTGTCTTGAAGGGAAGGGGGCACGTGCTCAGGATTTACTGCATCTGCTTCAATGGATACGGAAGGTTGTATTTCTTCACCTTGACAGGCCTGGATGAAAAAGAGTTTGGGTTTGTGAGCCAGAGCAGGACACTGCTGAGCCGTGAAGTGAGATATGATCTGCCGGATGGGAATGAGGTTCCCATCAGAAGAGTAGACGGCTCCAAATTTCCCATGGGTCAGAACACAGAACACAAAGCAGTCTCCATCAGCATGGTCTGGATGTTTCTGAAAATACTGCAGAACCTGCTCTAGGCGGTCTTTAGTCACATTGACATAAATAAACACGTTGAACCCAAGCCACTGAAACACGCGCCTCAGGCACTCTGTGAAAAAGGAGAGAAAGGGGAAATAGTGAAATGGAGGGAAATAAAACAAAACGGATGCTAGTAGTTATAAAAATCTGCATAGCATACAGGCTGAAGCTTTGGATGTTTTTTCTACTTTCAACAATAAAATTTTACAATTCACCTGACTTTTTATAGTAGCCACAGTGCTATCACAATGATCCTGTGAGTCAGCAGAGGGCAGAATTTTATCCTATTTCACAGATGAGGAAGCTGAGGTCCCAAGAATCTCCCACATGATCACAAACCTGGTTAGTGGTGGAGGCACAACTCTAACCCAGGTTGTCTCATCTGACCCAGGTGCTCTCTCCCAACCAGAGTCGTAAATGGTCAGGGACTCTGGTCACTCTTTAAGCAGGTCAGTGACCCCAGGAGCTATGGTGTGAAAGTCTGTGTTCCCCCTCAACCCCCAAGGTGAAGGTATTAGGAAGTGGAGCCTTTGGGAGGTGCTTAGGTCATCAGGGTGGAACGCGTTAAGAAGACCCCAAAGAGCAATCTTGCCCTGGCCGCTGAAAAAGGTTACAGAGAGAAGACGGCCATCTGGGAAGTGGGCTCTCACCGGATACCGAAATGCCAGAGCCTTGATCTTGGACTTCCCAGTCTCCAGAACTGTGAGAAATAAATGTTTGCTGTTTAAAAGGCATCTAATGGTATTAGATGCCTTCGGATGGACTAAGACACCAGGAATATACAGGAAGCTTAGAAACATTTCTGATATCATCCTTATATTTACATGGAAGATAAAAACTACAGAAAGAGGGCTTCTCTGGTGGCGCAGTGGTTAAGAGTCCGCCTGCCGATGCAGGGGACATGGGTTCGTGCCCCGGTCCGGGAAGATCCCACATGCCGCGGAGCGGCTGGGCCCGTGAGCCATGGCCGCTGAGCCTGCGCGTCCGGAGCCTGTGCTCCGCAGCGGGAGAGGCCACAACAGTGAGAGGCCCGCGTACCGCAAAAAAAAAAAAAACCCAAACGAAAAAAAACTACAGAAAGAAAATGTGAAAATAAAAAGTGATTTTAAGATTTCTAACTTGCATTTCATGCACTTCCAGACTTTCTTACCAGCATCTTTATTGGTCCCTGGTCTTTCTGACAGTGAGGTAAAACTGTGATTATTGACAATAACACAATACCCTCTGTGTTTCCGATCCATCCTGTACACAGCTGTCTCCTTGAAAGAAGAAGAGATAGGAACCACTTATTAGGGAATGCTCATTTTAAGGGTTTAATGTTTCTAACCAACCACTCCGTTTATCAGTACCAAAGGCAGAGAGTTCTCCAGACCCTGGTCCTGATCTGGAATTAACGATTAATTCCAAGGTAGAATGCCAGGTCCTCATTAAAATTCAAACTTCACCTGTCTTGCCTTCAGAATGTGAATTCGCAGTGTTAAATAATAAAATATGTATTTTTAACTTTGGCAAACCCAGGGTTTATGCAAAAGCATCTTTCTTGTTGGATTAGCAAAGTGAAGAAAGTATAGGTAAGGATCTAACAAGACAACAAAAATATCAAATGGTAATTTGTTTATTAAAATGGTAGGATTCTGGAGTGATCTGATTCCTCCAAAAACTGAGAAATCTCTTTTGTAGAGATCACAGTGTGAATTTTAAAATATGTGCAATTGTTTTTGAAGATTACTGTAAATAGCATTTGATTACAAATTAGCTGATTTGGCTTCAGCAGGGCCTCTCTGTGGCTACAATGATCTCCTGAAAACATGGTACAGCTTTGATCCAAGCAGAAAAGAAGTGGCTTCAGTCGATGAAAAAGAAATTCCCCTCTCTGCATATTTCAAAGGATATGCATGACTGAAAGGGCGATAACATCACCTCCATAGGCAAAGGTCAACACACTGCTGATTATTACAGAAAAAGGCGAAAAGAACAGAGACAATCACACAGAGACAGGAAGAAGAACCAAGGTAGAAACAAAAATCTGAGCCCACAGAGTCCTTAAGGGCTGGACCCTAGTTGGAGAAGACCTGAGGAAACAGTGCAAACCTTTGTGCTGGTTTCAGAAGTTAGAGTGTCAACAGATGCTCCCAACATCTCCACGGAGACCGGGGTTGCTCTGTCACCTAGAAAGACAAGTACTCAGACTCTTCACATATCTTTCCCCAAACACTTAGATTTCCTTACAGAGGATGGGTTGGAATCAGCTCAAGTGTTTCTGGTTAGAAGTTTGGTTGGGTTGAGTCAACATTTATCTGTCACTGGGTAGAGAGAGGCTGGGCAGACACCAAAAAGAAAGAGCGGGGTGGTGGGGGGCGGGGGGGGGAAGGCCCAGCGACCCAATTTGGGCAGAGCAAAAATCACCACAGCCCTGGGATCAATTTAGTCATGGCTTTGGCATTGGCTGCGGAGTGCACTGCTTTGAAGTGCACCTGCAAACTCTCTGGTTCCTCCGGATAAGAATCCTTCGTAGAGAGAGGAAGCCAAAGATGAGTTGTCAGATGACAGTAAAGGGAAAATGTGACTTGAAGCTTTTCTTCTCCCACACACGCCTGGCAAGTTTTCAGTAGAATCCGGAAGCTCTGCCCTTGTCTGTGAGGCCTGAGTTAGCTATTAACACGGTTAAGGGTCAGTCCTGGGCACTCAGCTCAGGCTGAGTAAGTCCAGGATCCTCCAGACCAGAGAACCTACCAAATGGGACCCCCGCTGCAGTCCTCCCGCGCACCTGTAAATTCTCCCTCCACGCGGGAGAAGGTAACTCTCCAGCAAAGACAGGTCTCAACTTTGAAACGGCAGAACTGCAGCACTGAAGGAAACCTGCTTGTTTTTCAGAAGTGAAACCACTGCCTGAGCTCTTGTAGCTGCAAGGGGTTAGAGCCAGGTCCTCAGAGGATGTGCTCTGGAGTCAGACCGCCAGTTTCAAATCCCAGCTGCACTCCATTCTAGCTGCGTGACCTTCAGCAAAGCACCAGACCTCTTGGGTCTCAGTTTCCTCATCATTAAATGGGAATAACAGTGGTACCTATCTCCAGGTGACTGGATTATTAAAGGAGATAAGTCCTAGGAAGGTCTTAGGACAGTGGCTGGCACATGACAAGAGCTCAGTAACAATAATTTGCATCCACATCATATCATGCAGCCTCCCAGATAGGCAGAAAGACAAAAGTCCCTAGGAAAGTGGGGTGTATTGGACTCTGAAGTTTAAATTTCCAGGAAAAAAAGAAATGAGGAATGGACACATCACAGAGAGAACACCAGAACCCTGATTGTTGGTAAGCAGTTTAGCCCAGTGGTTTTTCAAGGTCATGGTTTCTGGGCAAGGATTCAGAGCATTAAACACACTGTTGCCAAGTCCCTCCCTCTGACCGCCTCTTTCCTTCTGAAAAATACAAGCAGCATCTGGAGCCATACTATTCTACAGTCTACATTCTGCAGCTGCTGGCCTGAGGGCTTCTGCCCGCCAAGGGCTCCGTCCCTCCCCACAGAGGGTGACCTCATTCTGAAGGGTGGAGGGAGACCAGATCTGCATTCCCCAGATGCTGGTAGGCTAGGCTTTCCAAGTAGAAACCACCCAGCCCTCGACATCTGCCCCCATGGAAAAGCCTGGTATAATCCACGCATTCAGTGGCTTGCCCTGAATTAGAACAAGAACTGAATTCTCCACTAACGTGTAAGCCTTCTCCCAAGTCACCCCAAATTGCTTGGTATGTATCAAATATATCTATTACTGGCGTACTGATCCAAGTTATAAAAAGTGTGTTAGAGGGAATTCCCTGCCTGTCCAGTGGTTAGGACTCAGCACTTTCACTGCGGGGGAACCCAGATTCAATCCCTGGTCAGGGAACTAAGATCCTGCAAGCCACGCAGCGTGGCAAAAAAAAAAAAAAAAAGTGTATTAGAAACACCTACCATTACTCTGTGCATGCTCATCTCGCCAGGACACCTCCTGTTGAGGCAAGAGGAAATTCATGAATTGCAGGAAATTCACACAGTTAGGGTAAGGGCTGAAAATCTAGGCTTGATTCAGAGAAGAAAAAATACCTGATCCCCAGCCATAGAAAAAGTCACTAGCAGGGAACAAGAAAAGAATCAACTTCGTCCTTCCAAACGGGAAGGTTCACAGAGACACAGCGGCAAAAGCATATGACACATACACAAAGATATTTATTCATTGCAACATTATTTGGAATAACTGAAGACTGGAAATAACCCTAATGTTGACCAACAGGGAGTGGTCGAAAGAACAACGGTTCATCACACAGTGTGGCAGAAGGCGGAAGACCATCTCCCCAGGAGATACTGTGACATGAAAGAAGTGATGTGAAGATCGGTATTTAGTGTGCTCCCTCTTTCATAAAAAAGGAGAGATACGAGTGGGTTTTTTCAATAGGATAAAACAAAAAACTAATAAAAATGGTAAACTATGGGGGGAGGAGAAGCAAGGCAGGGATGCAATGCAGACTTCTCTGAGTGTACTCAATAGTTTTTCCTTTTAGTTTTATAAAATTAAATACAAAATTGAAGCACAGTTTAGGGCCCTTGTGTTTTCTGCAGCCACTCCCCATCCACTCCACTCCCACCACCCCCAGCCCTTAGCCTGCAGCTGAAAGCCCCAAAGGGAACATGACCACAACGTTTTGGGGAAGGACTGACTCTGCCACTGGCTGTGTGGTGGGAAGTACCAGGACATCTGTTTGACGTGACAGGCAAGTCACCCCCAAGTCACTGGGGGCGCCTCCCTGGTGGAGCCCACCAGGCTTCTGACTGCAGGAGGGCGAGGCAGACCGGAACTGCACTGCCGGACTCCCAAGCTGCCTGTGAGACACAGAAGTCGTTTCTAAGAGGTGTGGCTCAGCCTTAATCTCTGAAGTGCTGCTGTTCCGGGCTCTGAGGGAACAAAGGCAAAGAAGTTTAGTTTCACTTTCCAGAAGACTTCCTGCCTTTCTTTCTGCAAGACACATTTCCCTTTCTTCTGCACCCTAGAGTCCTCCTCAAGAGCATCCAAGGGCCAGGCAGGCTGTTTTCTGGGTTTGCACAGTTGGTTTTGAAAGCAGCTGAGTGAATTTTCTGGGATTAAGGGCATCACAGATACAGCAGTGGGCTCAGTCCAGGCATCTCCAGGCCCCAGGTTTCTTTGGTTTGTCTCTTCCCTTGTGCTGATAAAATCAGCCAGACAAAGGACTGGGAATAAGCTTTAGGGTCTGTCTGGCTCTCTTTGTCTGAGAATGTTGCATCCTCTGTTGATACCTCCCAAGTAGCTGTGTCAGAGAGGAATGAATGAATGAATGACCCATTGCCTGGCCACACTTGGTCTTCTTTCCAGTTTTTCCAGAGGGGTCCAGTAAGGCCTTAAAGAACAGCTGTTGTTATGTCTCCTCGTTAGAGGGCATGCATGCCTTTAAGAAAAGGCTAGGACACACTAAGAAATATTGATTTGGTTTTTAAACAAATTAGAGGATGCTGCTTGGAATGCAGTTTCTTTTTGTTTTGTTTTGTTTTACAACCTAACTGTCCATCGACAGATGAATGGACAAAAAAATGGAGTATATATTTGTACAAAGGAATATCATTCAGCCCCAAGAAAGAAGGAAATCCTTTGCCATTTGCAAAAACGTGGATGAACCTGGCAGATGTTAGGCCAAGTGAAATAATCCAGACACAGAAAGAAAAAAATGTATGCTCTCACATGTGGAATCTAAACTAGTTGAACTCACAGGGTAGGATGGTGTTGTCAGAGGTTTGGTGGGGTGGAGGGGTGCAGGTGAAAAAGTGGAGAGATATTGGTCAAAGCGTACAAAGCTTAGGTATACGGGATGAATAAGTTCTGGGGATCTAATGTACAACATGGTGACTGTAGTTAACATAGTGTATTGTATACTTGACACTTGCTAAGAGGGTGGATATTTTTTTGTTTTTTAACTTCTTTATTGGAGTGAAATACAGTTTTGATAAAAGAAATTTTCACATATTGAGGAACAGGGAAGTCATCCTGGCTTATCCATGAGTTAACTTGAATTTTATGCTAACTACAACAGCCCGTTTGTGGCCCATCAAGCATACACTGTACATCTGCTTTAATTATTAAAGAAAAGGGTGCACTGACCAGAAGTAAAAAATGCCCATAGTTATAAAGATTAAATGCCTCCCTTCCTGGGACACCAATGCTGGTCCTCCTTTGATGATAAGACCATACCGACTTAGGTGCCAAGGCCATACCGACTTGCTGTGTACGCGCTGATCTCTTTTTGCTTTTGTTTTTGAAACCTTGAAGGAAGGTTTCTCCGACTTTTTTGATGTTCTTTGCTCTGACAAGACATAAAACTGCTGAAAACCATGTTTCTCTGGAACAGTTCCTCAGAGTTATCTGAGAAACTGTCTTCCAGGCTATAGACCTCAGTTTGGATCAAATAAAACCCTTTTCTATTCCTGTTGTAGACTGTTTATTGATTTGTTGTTGTTGTTGTCAATAGTTTCTTCTCATTAAATGCAATTGTTGGCAGTACTCTTTTATATAAGAAAACCTTTCAGGTACATATGAAACATGAGATAATTTACCAAGTTTTAGTTTATCTGTCACTTCATGGAGAGACTCGTGGCCTAGATAACTTTTAAGACACCTTTCAACGCTGAGAACCTATAAGCATGTGTGTAACGTGAGGTTCTGTCCTCCAAAGCCTCCTGCACTCCCAGCACCACCACGGCTATTCTCCGTCTTCATCTGGCCATGACCAGAATCACCCAACAGCAACAAAACAGCAGCACTTCAGAGGTTAAGGCTGAGCCACACGCCTTAGAAACTACTCAGGTTCTAGGAGGCAAAGGGGAAACTCCTGTGTGTGTGTGTGCGCGCACGTGTGCGTGTGTGCGTGCGCGCGCATGTGTGTGTGTGCGCGCATATGTGTTTTCCACTTGCAAATCAGTCTCTGAGCACAAAACCAGGTAAAAATGTGGGCAAGGGACGGAATTAAGCTGAGTAGGCAAAACAACTTTTGAGGGAGAAAAGAGAACTCCTGCTTACAGTAAAATGCTGAGTGGTAACAAATGTGGAGAGAATACTGGAGTTTGAAAATCATTGCTTTTCAATCATGCAAGAATCATCAATGGATGCTCAATCTAAGGTGACATTTTAATTCATTTCAAGGGAAAAAATAGTAACTTCATAAAATTAACTATATAGTGAAGAAATCAGACAACATCTGGACCAAATAATCAAAATGTAAATCATGAATAGGGAGCCAATGAACACCACATGCCTGCAGATGGGATGCCCTGAGAAAGATATGGTGTCATTGATGTAATATTCTGGCCAGAATACACAGCTTGAATCTAATCATGAGGTAACACCACTCACACACACACACGCACACAAACACACACACACACACACACACACACGCACGCACACACAAAGAGGAAAATTCTATTTTTTTAATAAAAGGTGGTGGTGGTGGTGACTATATTCTTCAAAAGTGTCCATGTCATAAAACAGGAAGAAAGTTGTGGAGATGAAAAGATTTAAGGAGACTAAAGAGACATGACAACTAAATGCAATATATGATCCTAGACTGAATTATGTACTGGAGGGAAAAAAGCTATAAAACTTGTAAAAGTTATTATTGGGTTAATAGATAAAATTGAAATATGGACCACTGACTTGGTGAAACTTTTATATAATTTAATTTAACTGTACTATAATCTGTAAAACAATATCCTTATTATTATGAAATATACACTGAAGTATTTAGGGGTAAAGAGCCATAATGTATGCAACTTACTCTTAAAAAGTTCAGAAAAAATTATGTGTGTGCGTATACAAATAAAGAGAGAGCACACAAATGATAAAGCAAATGGGACAAAAGAGACAACAGGTGGGTGAATCTGGGCAAACAAATTTTGTATTATTCACATTTTTTTCAACTTTTCTATAAGATTAAACATACTTCCAAATTTTAAAATTATAACTGTAAATATATGACACCATGAAAATAGTAAAGAAGCTATGAAAGAATTTTTTAAGAATTAAAAAATAAACTTCCAGGGTGGGAGGGAGATGCAAGAGGGAGGGTATATGGAGATATATATATACACATAGTTGATTCACTCTGTTGTATAGCAGAAACTAGCACAACATTGTAAAGCAATTATACTCCAATAAAGATGTTTAAAAAATAAATAAAAATAAAAACTTCCAAAACAGCCCAATTAAAAAATGGGCGAAGGACTTGAATAAACATTTCTCCAAAGAAGATATACAAATAGCCAACAAGCACATGAAAAGATCAACATCACTAATCATTAGGGAAATGCAAGTCAAAACTACAATGAAATACCACCTCACAGCCATTAGGTTGGCTACTATCAAAAACCAAGAAAATAACAAATGTTAGCAAGGGTGTAGAGAACCCTTGTGCTTTGTTTGTGAAAATGCAAAATGATGCAGGAAAACAGTATGGTGGTTTCTCAAAAAATGAAATATAGGGAATTCCCTGGCAGTCCTGTGGTTAGGACTCAGCACTTTCACTGCCCAGGCCCAGGTTGAAACCCTGGTCGGGGAACTAAGATCCCTCAAGCTCCGAGGCACTGCAAAAAAGAAAAAAGAAAAGAAATATAGAATGATATATGATCCAGCAATTCCACTTCTGGGTACCCCAAAAGAATTGAAAGCAGAGTCTCAAAGAGATATTTGTACACCCATGTTCATAAGCAGTATTATTCACAATAGGGAAAAGGTAGAAGTTATTCAAGTGTCCATCCATGGATGAATGGATAAACAAGGTGTGGTATATACACACACTGGAATATTACTGAGCCTTAAAAATGAAGAAAAGTCTGACATGGATGAACCTTGAGGACGTTATGCTAAGTGAAATAAGCCAGTCACAAAAAGACAAATACTGTATGCTTCCACTTATATGAGGTACCCAGAATGGTCAAATTCATAGACAGGAACTAGAATGGTGTGTGCCAGGGGCTGGTGGGAGGGGGAATGGGGAGTTAGTGTTTAACGGATATAGTTTCAGTTTTCAAGATGAAATGAGTTCTGGAAATTGTTTACACAACAATGTGACTGTACTTAACAATACTAAACTGTACACTTAAAAATGGCTAACATGGTACATTTTATGTTATTTGTATTTTACAACTTTAAAAAAAATTTTTGTATGGTTAAGATGGTCAATTTTATGTTATGTGTATTTTACCACAATTAGAAACCAAAAACAAAAAATTCCAGGGACAACCTAACTTCATTGATGCTGACAGACGTCAGCAAAATAGAACTGCCAAGCAAGATGGGAATAAACATAAATCCCAGGGAAGAATGTCATGTGTCTTCCAAGAACCATGATCATGTTGTGAAGAATGGATTGCAAATTCTCCCAGTGTTTTCCCCTCTACCTACCCTACCTTTGCTGGGTACTACAGGAATCCAGTTCTTGTCCTCTGGGACCCAGTGCAAAGTAAAACTGTGAGGCCCCTTGTTCACACATTATCAAGAATTTCAAAATAATGACAGCTGAGCATTCAAAAAGTATGGGCCCTGTGCGATTGAACAGGCTGTACGCCCATGAAGCCGTCCGTGATCGAATCCCACAGATAAGAACAGAACCATTTCAAAGCAACCCAGTGGTGTACTGGAGTCAGCTCTAAACAGCTAGTGAGAGCCAATCATTAGATTTTCAGAAATTCTGCAATACAGTTAATATCAAGTTGGTAACTTGAAATCAGCCATGGTAGGAGTATTTACAACAAATGCTACAAATCATTCTCTCTCTCTCTCTCTCTCTCTCTCTCTCTCTCATTTGCAGTGAAGCTGGTGGTTACACATTTACCAACACACCAATGAACCTACCGGCAAGGCTCCAAGCAATTGGTTAATGTCCGAGCGGCAAAATAGTTCTTCCTCTCCTTGATGCAATGACTCAGTTTCCTTGGCTACAGGAGGTGCCCCTACCTGGGAGGCTGGGAATAGAATCAGATAGAAAAACAAAACAATCACCTTCTGACTAGTGGCAATCCGAAATAACCCATCATCATAAGAAATTATGTTACAGGGACCTGTAGATTTGTAGTGGAATTTGCTTAAAGAGGCCTACATGTAGATACCGAGAAAAATGTGAATTTATAAATTATTTTTATCATTATATTTTCATTCCTTATATTATGGTATTTTGTTCCTTACTATTTCTATTATTTTTGTAAGTTAATTAGTTCCTTAAAATTACTGTATACTTTACTAAATACCATTTCAGAGCTTATGGTGCTCAGTGTGTCAGGTAACTACCAAATAAAGATTACAAAAACGTTACCTCAAGAAATAAAACCAGAACTCAGACTGTAATAGCAAAAAGAAAATGAAAGAAAGAAGCAAAAGAAGGTAGGAAGAGAAGGAAAGGAAAAAAAAAACCATTTAAAAATGTTGATTAAATACATGTTATATACATAAAATATGTCTCTATGGAACCATTAATAAAAATAAGCTGTATCTGTGTTATATACATGGGAAAATGCCAGATATATTAGGTGGGAAAAAAGCAAGTTATGGAATATGATTAGCATGATCTTAGTTAAATATATATTATAGGTATCTATCTCTCCATACATGCATACACACATGCACTTATCTCTATATAGAAGAAAGCTACAAAAATATACTCCAAACAGGGGTTCTCTCTGGGGAATGGACCAGCAGTGGAAGAAAAAGAAGAGAAAGACTTTACCTCCTACACTCTGTATTGTTGTCATTATTTGAATTTCTATTTAATTTTATTATACATTATTTTTAATAATGAATTTAAAATATTAAAACAAACACCAAGGCTCAGGAAAACTCAGAAAGATATCCAGGTGGTCCTTAAACAGAGCTTGTGTCCTAATCAGATACAGTGGGCTTAGTCTTTCCACTCACCTCACTTACAGAAGCCTAAAATCTGCATACCTACTATCTTTTCAGTCCTTTAGTCCTTCATCCTAAATGGCAGAATTATGCCCAAACTCTCAGAGGACTGTAGAAAGTCAGTATTAAAATACCGAGACCTATGATATAATAATATATATCCATGTGGTCTCTGCCCCTTTTCCTGGCACACAGTTCCTAAAACCCTACACTCTCTTAAGTGATTAAGTGTCTTTTTGTATGCTAATGACATGACTGGTGGTTGAGGACATCCTGATAGCCTCAGGATGGGGGCTGGTTGCCAGGGGACCCAATCAAATGATCAGAGGGTTGGAACTTTCAGCTTTACTCCCAGAACTCTGGAAAGGGGACAGGGGCTAAGGTTAAATTAATTACAGTGGCCAATGATTTAATCAATCATGCCTACGTAACAAAGCCTCCATTAAAAACCCTAACTTAGGGCTTCCCTGGTGGCGCAGTGGTTGGGAGTCCGCCTGCCGAGGCAGGGGACGCGGGTTCGTGCCCCTGTCCGGGAGGACCCCACGTGCCGCGGAGCGGCTGGGCCCGTGAGCCATGGCCGCTAAGTCTGTGTCCGGAGCCTGTGCTCCGCAGCGGGAGGGGCCGCAGCGATGAGAGGCCCGCGCACCGGGAAAAAAAAAAAAAAAAAAAAACAACCCTCACTGAGGGACTTCTCTGGCGGTCCAGGGGTTAAAATTCTGCGCTTCCACTGCAGTGGGGGCACGGGTTCCGTGCCTGGTCAGGGAATTGGGATCCCGCTGCCAGGCAGTGTGGCCAAAAAAGAAAAAGAAAAAACCCTACCTGAGGGGGTTCAGAGAGCTTCTGGGTTGGTGAACAAGTGGAGGTGTTGGGAGGGTGATCCACCTGGAGGGGGCATGGAACTTCCATGCTCCTTCCCCCACGCCTTGCCCTTTGCATCTCTGAGTTGTATACTTTGTAATAAATCAGTAACCTAGTAAGTAAACTATTTTCCTAAGTTCTTTGAACAGTTCTAGCAAATTATCAAACCTGAGGAAGGGGTCATGGGAACCCCTGGTTTGTAACCAAGTTGAACAGAAGCTGTGGGTAATCTGGGGACCCACTACCTGAGATTGGTGGCTGAAGTGGTGGGGGGAGTCTTGGCGGACTGAACCCTTAACCTGTGGGATCTGCAATAACTGATGAGTGTCAGAACTGAATTAAAACACAGGACACCCAGTTGGTGTCTGCAGAGTTGGAGAATTGCTTGGTGTGGAAAAACCCACACCCCTGGGTTCAGAAGTGTTCCAGATGTTGTTGTGAGTATTAGTAAAGGAAAACAAGTTTTTTCTTTCAACATCCAAAAAATGATCATACAGCATGTAGATTATAGAAAAGAAAAATCAAAATTAGAATTCTTCTGACAGGGAACTATATTCAATATCTTGTAATAACCTATAATTGAAAAGAATCTGAAAAGAATGTGCGTGTGTGTGTAACTGAATCACTTTGTTGTACACCTGAAACTAATACACGATTGTAAATCAAAAAAAAAAGAATTCTTCTGATAATAAAGCTCAGTCCTCAAGACTCACTGAGGCAAATGTAAACATTTACTGCATAGAAACTAGAGAGCCTTCCCCAGAGTCCAAACAGCCAAAATAATCTGGCCACCTGCCCTCTGTTTATTCTGTGCGGAGTACTGCATTACAGAAAAACGATGTGATCAGAAAAAAAAAAAATCTCCGCATTCAAAGTTCAAGTGAGGATTTCAAATATACTTTCAATATCAACTCCCTGTTTTTATTTCTCACTTGATGACTTGATGGTTAGAAGAGCTGTTTTTAGTCTTCATAATTTTTACTTAAAGTATACATTAAATTATCCATTGATTTGGTTATTGTTTGAGATTTTATCAAATTAACAACAGTACCTTTTGTTCCTCGACTCATTTTGTGTTAATAGAATTCTTAGAGAAAGTTTCCTATTGCCTAGTTTTGTTTTCAACCAGATAAATTTGCACACTATGTTGAGTCTCTGAACTAAAATATGGGTGTGGCATACAAGCTTCATGAATACAATCCTGAGTGTTTACTTTTAGCTTTTGTTTAATAGTGGAGAAATGGACTCAATAAACCACAAATATTCAGCATATTGACACACGGTAAGGCAGCCAAGTTTGATTTCTGCCCCATGCAGCTACTTCTGCATAGTACCACAGCAATACTACCTTTACAAGCCTGATTAAAAACAAAGGAGAAAGAAAAAGAAAATTCTTCTCTGATAGTACTTTACGAGAATATGAAAGTTTTCATGACTTTCCTCTCTAACAAACGTATTCATAGCAATGTGTATTGAATGCTTACTCTGTACCAGACATGCATTTTATAGGAATTACCTCATTCAATCCTCAAAAAAATTATGAAGTAGGTACTATGATTAGCCCCACTTTAAAGATGGGAAAAGTGAGACACAGAACAGCTGAGGAAAGGGCCACTGCACCATTAATAAGTGGAGTGCTGGCAATCTGACTCCATGGATCCCACTCTTAATTCCTGTGCCATCCTGCCTCCTTCTTTTTGATGTTATTTCATTCAAAACAATTTCTTTTACAATCACTTCCATGTAAGAATCAGAAGAAGACGTTTGTCTAAAACCACTTTCCCTCATTAGAATATAAGCTCCAAGAAGGTAGAAGATTTGCCCTATACCTTGCTGTAGCTCCAACTTCTAAAACTGTGCCTAGTACAAAGTATGCATTCAATAAACATGTGTTGAATGAACAAATGGGGAGATTTCAAAAGAATATTATCAGAGTGATAAGTAAACATCATACATGGCCAATTGGTTTAAGAATTCCCATGGTCTGATTCGAGCAAGCAAGCATAAGCTAGTTACCTTTCTCTCTTTTATATTTGTTTATCTTTCTCACAAGATTAGGTACAATTTTTTTGCAGAGATCCTCCAGTAATGTCAGATTATCTTCATTTATTTTCTCTTGTTTCTCCAGATATGCCAGGAAACTTAGAGAGGTCTGCAAGAGAATCAATGGAGTCACATTTACTTGCCTACTGATTACCCGTTGCAGTAATAAATTAGGTGGAGAGTCCATGCAGCAAGACTTCAATAGTAGGGGGGAAGAGGCATTATAGAGATTGTACATCTCTATACAATCTATATTAATACCAGATACCAAACACACATCACTCACTAACTACTCAGAAACAATCCAATGAGCAGATGCTATTATACCCCCATTTTAAAGATGAAATAACTGAGGCACAGGGAGGTTCAGTAAGTCGTCCAAGGTCACAGAGCCAATAAGTGGCAGAGCTGGTATTTGAGTCCTGGCAGCCTGATGCCAAAGTCTGTCTCATTAACAGATTAGGGCAGCAGCAAAACAGGAGTACCAAAGAAAAGAGAAGAAAATGCTTTGACAGAATTTTATATTTGGTATTTTAAAAGAAAAACATATCTTAAGCACTCCTGGGAAAAACTGCAAATTGGCTAGTATTATTTTAATATTGAATTACGTATGAGGTGGAAGTCACCATAATCTTTTCAGTGATAAGGACTTCTCAACCAATGTATTAACCTGGTTATGAAAATATGTATATGAACAAAATTGTGTTAGAGCCCACAGAAAAGAATAACTAATCAGAGGGACTTCCCTGGAGGTCCAGTGATTAAGACCCTCATGCTTCCACTGCAGGGGACACGGGTTCGATCCCTGGTCGAGGACCTAAGTAAGATCCCACATGCTGCGCAGAGCGGCCAAAAAATAAATAAATAAAATAACTAATCAGAAAGTGAACAGCTAAACACTTGCTAACTGCATACATAAGCATCAGCAGGATGGAAAAAGGGGGCCGGGGAGTCTCCAGACATGCTGGCCAGTTGAAAAGGGACTGTATGGTCAGGAATATTGAGGAGGAGACCTGAGTACAAACTCCGAGTGAAAGCTAGGCCACAACTGGAACAGCAGGCTGGTATCAGGCCATGAATGAACACCGAGGGGTTTGGGCAAGTATCCCATGGATGAAGGGGTTCCAGCAGGAATTTTTAAGGAGAACAGTGACATGAACAGGTTTGTTTTTAAATAGAAGTCTTGAGGATAGGTTGGAGGAGGAAGTGGGCTAGAGAGAAAATATCAGCACGAAGATTAAATGCTCCAGTGAAGAGATCAGCACGGCCTGGTCTAAAGCTAGTGGTGGAAACGCAGAGGAGGCACTGGATTTGGGCGACTTTTCTGAGGTATAATTTGGTGAGTTGGGAGGTCAACTGGAGTGGGTGAAGAAAGGAAGGACAAGTCGAAGATGACTTCAAATGGTGATGCCCCTCGTTTCTGCATGACTCACGGGCTCCACAGAGCCGGTGTCACACGAGCTGCACATGGGAGGTGATAATGTGAATCACATCTCGAAAGATCACCACGCCTTCACTTCCGACATGCAGAAGGGCCTTCCAAGCAAAGAAAATCAGATAGGGAAAATGAGAAACTAAAAATCTGGCTGTGAGCAGGCTCGTGGTAGTTTCAGCAAGAATAGTTTCGTGGGAATGAAGGAGGCTGAAGCCATCTTGGAATGCGTTGGAGTGTGACTAAGAGTCGCGTCAGTGGAGAGAGAGCGTGTGTGGACAATTCTTTCAAGAAGTCTGGCAGTAGGACTTCCCTGGTGGCGCAGTGGTTAAGAATCTGCTTGCCAACGCAGGGGACACGGGTTCGAGCCCTGGTCCAGGAAGATCCCACATGCCGCGGAGCAGCTAAGCCCGTGCATCACAACTACTGAGCCTGCACACCACAACTACTGAGCCTGTGTGCCACAACTACTGAACCTGCGCTCTAGAGCCTGCGAGCCACAACTACTGAGCCCACACGCCTAGAGCCCGTGCTCCGCAACAAGAGAAGCCACTGCAATGAGAAGCCCACGCACTGCAACGAAGAGTAGCCCCTGCTCACCACAACCAGAGAAAGCCCGCACAGCAACGAGGACCCAACTCAGCCATAAATAAATAAATAAAATAAAGACAAATAAATAAAATTTTTAAAAAAAAGAAGTCTGGCAGTAAAAAGAAAGAAGATAGAGCAGTAACAGAAGGATGAAAAAGGGTTAATGGAAGAGTGTGTGTGTGTGTGTGTGTGTGTGTGTGCGCGCGCGCGCGCAATGTGTTTTCAAACAAGGTACTCAAAATGCCAATAACCAAGGGAAAGGCCAGAGTTACAAAGTCTTAACTGAGTTCTGTACTAATCTGATCAAAAAAGAGATTATAAATTTTCAAGACATTCCAGAGACACATAAGAGAACCAAAAAGGCAAAGAAATGTGTGTGTCCTCACCTGCAGCGCCAGCACACCAACAATCTGCCCAGGAAATAAAGCAGGAGGGAGGAGGGGGTAAAGGAAGATTCAACCAGAGCTGATCAGCTGGGCAAAGGGGTCAGAGGGAATCCCCCGAACAAGGTTCTACAGTCGGTTTATGTGCAAATGAGCTCCCGCTGAAGCTCAAAACAGAAACCCCTATCTTGACTGCATCCTACCAGGAGGAAGAAAAAGGGCTAAAGCATGTTTCCAGAAGCAGTTTTGGAAACCCATTATACTTTGTACAAAGTGTATTAGATGTTGAGTAAATGACACCCTCCATACACACACACACACACACACACACACACACACACACACACACACGAACACCCACAATATAAATGGAGTCTGCACATTAGTTTAAGAACACCACCCTGGCAAATATTAGCAGAAATTCTGAAACTCTCTTGCTCTGCATCTTTGTTAAAAAGATAAGTTTGGGTGTGGTTTCCTTTACAACTAACGTTCTATGTTGATTGCTACATTGAGAACGGATATCCTGACAGTTGTTTGGGTCACTCAGGATGTGTGAAGGCAGCTATGTTTGCTCTAAGTTTGTGAAAGCTATCAAAGAGGAAACCTAGAACACCCTGCAAAGGTCCTTTCTGTTCATCCAGAGAGACCACGTGAATTCACAATTCTTCCTTTTTGGCTGAGAGGAATTCAGGCCCTCCTCCACTGGCTGGTAAAGAATTTATTTCCGTGATAAAGTCTTTTGCAATTGTAATTGCAGGTAATGCAGTCCCATTAAGCCCTGGTATGGAAACACATCTGGGTTGCTTAGAGTTTGTCCTTTACGCACTCGAGAAGGCTGGCCTGATCACAAAGCCCAATAGAGATCAACCTGGATTATCAGGTGTGTAACTCAGCCACAGTTCTGGCGTAAATAGTTAGATCTCCTTCAGAATACAGAGAGATCATTTGGAATCCAAGAAGGAAGTGCAGTTTTCATGCATTTGTCCAGGACATTCCACAGTTTTATGCCACAGCTAAACACAGTAACTTCTTATTTACTGTTGTATGGAGTGAGAAAAGCATAAAATCATTTGGCTACTTGGGCACGGGCCTTTGATGATTTAAAAGCTAATTTAGCAGGAGGGAGAAATGTTTGGAATGATCCTGAACAATGAAAATGTTTCTGAAGCCACAGATGCCTTTAAGAAGAGGTCTAGGACCTGTGGAAAGGCCCAGAGGAAGAAATACATTCCCCAGCTTTTCTTAGTGGGAAATCATGGCTCTGTGTTGAGCATATCAAATGCCCCTCTCATCCTCCACCACACTGTGGGGAGTAAGGACTTCTGTGCATGACAATAGGTGTAACAATAGAAAGGGGTCTCTTTATTTATAAACCCAGAGACTAGAAAAATTATGAGAAGATGCCCAAAGCTGGGAGATAATTTTATCCGAATATGCTGGAGGGTTTTTCAAACTACAAGAATCTCTTCTGATGTTGAGAAATTCTACATGTAAAGCAAAATGCTGTCATTTGAGTATATAACCACTTTGCACCAACATAAACTCGAGATTGCATCATCCCACTCATTCATGCTTTCATTCGGAGCACCATTATGTAATTCTGCAATGTTTTGGGGCTATAATGATAAGTAAGACTCAGTCCCCATTCCCAAGGATCCCACAACCAATCCTTAGGATAAAGGAGCCTGGAGAGAGAACCAATGGAAAGACGCAAGAGGCTAAAATCCCTGGGGGCTCTGAAAAGGAGAAAAAAAGGACTCAAAGATTGCAACCAAAACAGAGAATTAACCTGCAGGTTAATTAACCTACAGGTCTGACACCAGGAAATATGTTTAATGAATTGTTAAACATGGTCCTCATAAGACCTACCACATGTAAAACAGCTTCCTACTCCTCAGTGATTTTTCTTTCAAAAAGAATTTATTTGGGGCTTCCCTGGTGGCGCAGTGGTTGGGAGTCCGCCTGCCAATGCGGGGGGCACGGGTTCGTGCCCCGGATCCGGGAGGATCCCACATGCCGCGGAGCGGCTGGGCCCGTGAGCCATGGCCGCTGGGCCTGCGCGTCCGGAGCCTGTGCTCCATGGCGGGAGAGGCCACAGCGGTGAGAGACCCACGTACCGAAAAAAAAAAAGAATTTATTTGTCAATAAAATCAGTTAGTCTAGGGAGAATGTGATATGGGAGGGCTACACGTGTAAGCTCTTTGCGCTGGTGATGTGCTCATCTGTAAGTTGGACGGGGGATCCATGGCCGTTCACTTAGTTCTACATTTATAACTTCCATACATGTTACATGTCTTTTTTGGTGTTATCAAACATTATATAACTTAATAAAGATAGCTGTCGAATAACAAAATTAATGTTATAGGGTCAAATTCGAAAATTGGCCCCTTCCCAAATTAACTAACTTGCTTGTCACAAGCTGTTATGAGAATCAAAAGAAAAAATATAAAGTTTTGAGGCCTGGAAGAGAGATGTTCAGCTACTTTCCTGCCCTTAATTGTGACCAATCTAGCAAGAATATCAGCCGACAGCATTATGTTAATATTAAAAACATTACTATTAGTTCCAAGCACTTGTATAGCCCTTTAGAAAGCACATCCTCAAACATTTGTCTCATTTGATTTTCACAAAACTCTACATGGGAGACACTGCAACGTCCACTGAAAAGGACACGGCTCCCTCAGAAACCTCAACTAATGGACGTGAGGAACAACTAATTCCCATTCTGCCATTAGCCACCACCTCCTCATTTCTTTGTGGTGCCCTGCACATTTCTGTATCATAAAACACAGTGGATGTCAAATAGCACTCGTTTACTGCATGGTTACTATGTGCAAAATACAGGCCCCAGCTAATAGTTGATGTATATTATTTCATCTAATCCTCTTAACAGTCCTGGAAGGAAGTAGTATAATTGTCTATAATATGACACATTAGAAAATGGAGGCTCAGAAACATTCAATCACTTGCCCCACATCCAGGAGTTAGTCTAGGACTAGACTCCAGGCCCATTAAAAGTCAATGTTGCTAACCCTTGTCTGATATTGTCTCCTGCAAAAAAAAATGAGCCCTCCTGAAATCCCTTTCTAGCATCTTCCCAAACACTGATTAAGGCAATGTTCACAAAGACCCCATCCTATAGGGCCCACTCACCATCTGGACTTTCGGAACCGACTCCCTCAGAAGGAAGATCATGCTCTTTAAGTTCTCTGAGCTGATGTCTTCTGACAGTTCATAGAGCAGGTTTCTAAGACATACACCCAAGAGACAAATTAAAGTTTCGCACTTGCAGAGGATGGGCAGGAAATTGAGTGCTTTTATCGTACGTTATCTCTCGTTTGAAGGACCACAACCCTGTGAGTAGACAACTATTAATCCCATAGATTTAAAAACAAAAACTTTGAGCTTCAAAGTGACCTATTAAACGACAGCAACACAGTAAGCAGTAGGAGCAGGCCTTCTGATTCCAAGTCCAGTGCTGTTTCAAATTCCACTAAGAAGGCATGAAACAAAATGTCGGCATGCCTGCCCTCCTCCAGACTCCATTCTAGAAATCAGGCTTACTTTATGGGCCCTCATCAGGGAGGACTCAATGCCAGTGAGTATAAAGTTCACTGTTGAAAAGGAGTTCACTGTTGAAAAAGAAAGGAAACTATCCCAAATTCTGGAGAGCCATACAGTCGACAATTAGAATAACTGAATATGGGGACTTCCCTGGCGGTCCAGTGGTTGGGCGCGGGTTCGATCCCTGGTTGGGGAACTAAGATCCCACATGCCATGCGGCACAAGCAAAAAAAAAAAACAGAAAAGAAAAACTGAATACTTCATTCACAGGTTAATAGCTCTGCATGCCTGAGACCATTCCTCAGCTGTCTAACCAGCAGAGTGGAAATAATGATCTCCAGAATTCCCTCACTGACCCAAGGGCAGCTCAGGTTGTAGGAACCAGTTCAAGTGTTAAGGCCTGAAGGATTCTAACCGTCCAGGCTGTAAAATAGTATTACGAAGGCTCCACTTCGTGAGGCTGTTTGATGTAGATACTATGTTAGTGGACCGTTTAAAACAGCGTTGCTTAAGGTCTGATGCCTTTATGCTACCTCTTTGGGCAAAATACCTATATTTTACCTGTCTGGGTTTCACCCCAAAACTGGACAAACTGGACATGGCATAAATGATGTCCCTCCCTACCCCAAAGGCACATCTCCTTTTTTATTTTGCTCACTTGGGTCCAAGTATTCATTTCTCTCTTCTCAAATGGCTAGGTATAGGCTGACACACCAGTGACTCACTGGAGGCAGGAGGCTGAGAGCGTGGAGGCTGGCAATGAGGAAGGCGCTGGCCTGCTGCACACGGAGCTGGGCCTCCTTCCTCAGTGAGAAGCAAAACAAAGGGAAGCCACCCCCAGGCACAGGACTGGGTTTTGAAACTTTGCTGACCTCCCAGCCTCCATTCTCATTAGCACCTGAAGTTAAGAAATCTCCTGCTTTAGAATCACCATACCAGCCAAGGAGGTAGATGGGTGGGGGGGCGGTAAAGAAAAACAACCTTAAAAATTAATTCATCATGAATCGCAGCCTCTTTTCAAAGCCCAATGGCCCTGCCGTGTCGATCACCTGAACAGAGAGACCTTCCGGCAGAAAGGCAGGCGGTGCTCCACCTGCTCCTTGGTGTAGCGGAGGTGCCGAAGGAGGACGTTCTGCTTGATGGTGTAGAGGAGCTCCGCTAGGAAGAAGGGGTCTTCCTCACTCAGCCATTCCTCTGCCAACAGGTACTCAAAGATATCCAAGGCTGAGCCGCACTTCTCCAGGTTCTTGGGGGCGATGGAGTCTCGGCAGAGGAACTTCAGGCGCTCCACGTCTTGATCCCCCAGGTACGAATCAATAGTCAGAAGTGTCCCTCGAAAGTTCCCTTGACAGTTATCATCTAAAGTGGAATTCAGACTTTGGCCTTGCGATGTCATGGCCAGCCTGAAAGAGATACGGATATGGGGGCCACAGCTTAGAGAGTGAGGACAACAGGGCACCCCATCTTCCCAGGCCCTCCTCCAGTTCCAGCCTCCTCTGTTCCAGGCCTTAGACTTTTCTAGAAATGCTGAAAAATGAAATTCACTGCGAGGTCACTTCAAAAACCTATAGCCCAGAAAACGTGACCCCAACACCGGCATGTTAACCTTTTAGGAGGTCTGAAGAGAGCTTTTATTGAAACTCAATTGACCCCGAGTTCCCCCAAATCAAAATGCCCCCATTGGGAGCTAGTCAAGAGGGAGGACGACACAGCACAATTTCTCCCGCCTGGAGCTCTTAAATCATTCCCACCAAATGGCAGAAGTAACACTTTTACATTTTAGAAATAAAGTAATGGGGGGGGTACATTTCTGAAGTATCTACCAACCTAAGGACAACAAGGTAACATTGCTAACCATACCAGGGCAGGCCTTTCTTTATCTCACAGAAAGAAAAGTCCCAATCCCAGACCCCAGAAAGAGTGGTTTCAGACGACATTTGCTCAAATCAACGTAGGAACTGACAAATTACCGAAGTCAGTATTTCCACACTAAATGTATTTCCACACTAAATTTCATTCTAATCAGAGGAGCAATGAATCGATAATATTTTTTCAATGTAATTATTCATTCTTTAAGGACTTGAGGTATATATTCACTATGCAACACTGAGCTATTTAGAAACAAGAAACTACTTTCTAAGGGAAGGCGAACATACCAACAACAAAAAAATAACAAAGAGTGGTTATATATAAGTGGTATAATTACAGATACCATAAATTTTATTCTGGGCTCCTGTCTGAGTTTCTCAAATTTTATGCAATGAACGTATAGTACTTTTATAGTTAGAAAAAGAAGAAAAATGTCATCTTTAATGTGAGTATCTATTGGGTCTTACCTTCTAGTAGCTCTGTGATACTAGAAACAGTATGACTGGATTCCTGGAGATATCTTATTCCAACATCGTACATTTGTCTTGCAGTTTCCTGAAAATTCTGATCTCTAGCTCTGGCAAGTCTGCCAGACTTTGTCTCTATTTATGGGCTAGCCTATTTCTACCAGGAAAGGGCTGTGTGGGAGTTTTCCTTGGTCTAACCTTTCTTTTTCCATGTTAGACCTAGTAAATCCAGGCGAAACAGTGCCATTGCTGACAATGTGAGATTGTGCAAGTATCCAGGAAGTAAAGCAAGGGGAAAAAAAGGCTGGTGCCTGAGTCCCCAGCAGAGAAAAGGTGTTAATTACATACCTTCAGATCAAATTCCACTGATCCTCTGGAGGTAAAAAGTTCTCAGAAAAATTTCCTGAAAACAGAGCTTTAAAGAAATTAGAATCCTCTTCGTGCTCCAAGTCCAAGTTCCAAGAAATCTCCCGTTTGCGCGGTAAGAGAACTCAAATTGCCTTGGCCTAGCAAATGAAAACTCGGTCAGCCGATTTGGGAAACTTATGCTAATTGATGATGTCATCATTGACTCACTCGCCTTGCCTCCTCCCCTTTCCTGGGGTTAAGACAATGCTGACAAACAGCGTCTGCTAAAGGCAGATGCCTAACCTTCCCACTGTAGAGCTCAGGACTCCCACGTAAAGCCGAGGGCTAACAGAGGAACTCCTGGAAGGCACTAAGTGCTCTAGTGTTTCCCTGGGGTCACTCCCCTCGTAAGTTAAAAAAGGAAGTGTCGATTTTTCCTAACCATCTCCTTCCCCAAACACACTAACCTTTAAAATAAAACTCAAAATGTTCCTGAAATAGTAGTCGGCCATCTTAACTCTTTCTCAAGTAAGTACATGTGCAAATAAACAATTAAAAAATCTAAGGCAAAAAAAAAAAAGGAGGGGGCTGGGCTCTAAGCCCATTTGGAAGTATTTGCAAGGAACTGAGTTAACAGTAGGCAAAACTGGTGAAGTCTCTGCCCTTCCAGCACATTCAGTCCAGCAGGAAAAAGACTTCAAAGACATTATTTCACATAATAAAAACAATACCTAACACTTGTATCCCAACTACCATGTGCCAGGTACTATTTACTCATTTAATCATCCCAACAACTCTCTAAAAAAATACTATTACTATGACCCCTCTTTTAAGACGTGAAAATTAAAACACAAAAGGTTAAGTAATTTGCCCAAGATCACACAGGGAGCTGGTGGGAGAGCCAAGATTTAAACCAATAAGTTTAGCTTTAAGCCACTACACTATAATTCAGCTAATTCAAATGCACAGAGCTGAAAGAAGTACAGAATCTTATAAAGATATTTTATCTCTGAAAAAAAAAGATTTATGGGGGACTTCACTGGTGACTCACGCTCCCAGTGCAGGGGGCCCAGGTTAGATCCCTGGTCAGGGAACTAGATCCCACATGCATGCTGCAACTAAGAGTTGCTAAGGAGCCTGCCTGCTGCAACTGAGACCTGGCACAGCCAAATACATACATACATATATAAATTTGGTCATGGAAAATGTTATTTCTAAAAAAAAGATTTATGATGCCTTATTAGCAAACGTATTACAGTGCCATTTCCATATCCTAGGCATGAAATTCTGTGTTTAAGAAAGACAAGCCCAGGGCTTCCCTGGTGGCGCAGTGGTTGAGAGTCCGCCTGCCGATGCTGGGGACACGGGTTCGTGCCCCGGTCCGGGAAGATCCCACATGCCGCGGAGCGGCTGTGCCCGTGAGCCATGGCCGCTGAGCCTGCGCGTCCGGAGCCTGTGCTCCGCAACGGGAGAGGCCACAAGAGTGAGAGCCCCGCGTACAGCAAAAAAAAAAAAAGACAAGCCTGAGTGGTGATGGTTGCACAACAATGTGACTATATTAATGCCACTGAATTGTACACCTGAAAATGGTTAAAATAGTAAATTTTATGTTATGTATATTTTACCACAAATTTTTTTAAAAAAAGATAACGATAAGACAGAGAAGCTCTAAGTGTTGGTCTTCTATTCATTTCTTCAATTATACATATTTCACTCCCTGGACCATCTGGGAAGCCAATTTGATGAAACTATCGCTTCTCACCTTGTTCATAAAATATATTAACTTTTTCAACTTTTGTTCAATAATATTAAATATTTAGCAAGCTCTTCCTATATGTAAAGCATGAACTCTCTAAGGTCAGTGTTATTATCCATATTCAATAGATGAGGAAATCAAAGTTCAGAGAGGAAAAGTATTTTGCCATCATCCCAACCCTAGGAAGAGTTGGGAGTTCAGGACTGACACCTAGGTCTCTCTAATTCCAAATCCTATGCTCCTGATCTCAAGGCTACTACTGCCACTAACTCCATATGAGGTAATGTAATTTCTGTAACTATTGGGCAGGGTGAGGCTGCAGTGGGGCTCACCTAAGCGCCACAGGAGCCCCACAGAGCAAGGCAGGAATCCAGATGGTGATGCCTTGGAGGTATCTGAGCTAAGCCTGAAAGGCAGAAGTAGAATAGAGACACCTGAAGTCAAACTTGAACTTTTATCCTAGGACTCCCAGTACTCAAGGGAAACGCTTGAATCAAGTTAAAGGGGGGAGATCGTGTGCTATGTTATTTGCATTCGGCATTTCATACTTCCCATTCAGAACACAATTACTGAGGGCATGCTGATGGTGAGTTGATAGCAGTGGAAAGAATAAACATGTCTTACAGCCTCTTTCCTGATTGGTTGCAGTCAACTTGGTCCATATGAAGAGCCAATCAAAACCTACCACGGCCCTGGTGACAAAGGGGAAATACCAGATGGTTCCTATTTAGTTCGGCCTTGGGAGGGGGCGGTGGTGTCAGTAATTGGCTTTCCTTTACATCCAGGGTCTGGTCCAAGTTCCCCCCCACCAAAGTAAAAACTCGTGAACTAAAGAATGGACACAGTGATGGGGAAGATAGATGTAGGAGCTGGAAAAAACCCTGGTGCCCTGAAACTTTCATTCCAACTCCTGTTCCTATGGTAGCAGGTTCTTTTGATTAGCTATCCCATCCCCAACTTCTAGGACTCCCTCCCTTCCTCACTCCATACTTTTATTCACACACTTCAGACCTTCTCAGAACTGGTCTTACTCTAGGTATATGGGAGCATGATGAAGCTAAGTTCTAAAGGAGAATGTTTTTTGTGGTAAGGATCCCAGCAGAGGTCTCCAAATGGTGCACTGGCAGGAGACTATAGCTAGATGAGTAAAATGTGACCCATTTTGTATTCGTTATACTACAGACTGATCTATTTTAAGACATTTTTTGGCCTTGCTGCACGGCATGTGGGATTTAGTTCCCCGACCAGGGATCGAACCCATGCCCCCTGAAGTGGAAGCGCAGAGTCTCAACCACTGGACCACCAGTCCCCAGACTGATCTATTTTAACGTGTCTCTTTCCTTAATAAAAAAGCAGTTTAAAAAAAAAAAAAAGAGGTGAGAAACTTCCAATATTTAATGTAGAAAGGCTGGAAAATAGGGAAACACACAGAGTCATTTATAACCTATACTGTTAAATTTTTATCAAGTCAATATGTTGTACACCTTAAACTTACACAATGTTGTATATATGTCAATTATATCTCAATTTTTTTAATTTTAGTGTATATCCTTTCACTTTTCTCTGTGTAATTATTTTTCAAAAATTGGAATAAGCTGTACAGTTTGCTTTTTTCACTTAACAACACATATACCTTTTTTTTCATATCATTAAATAGTCTTTGACAACATGATGCTTAGTGGTTAGATGATATTCTCTTCCCTGGATATACCATATTTATTTAACTAATTTATAGTTATTGGACATTTAACTCATTTCCAATTTTTTACTATTGTGAACAGTGCTGCATTGAAGATTCTTACAAATAGATCTCTGAACGTATTTATAATGATTTCCTTAGGATGAAACCCAATGTAGAATTAGCAAGCTAATCTTTAAATTCACCCTTCCCCATTCTGTGAACCCCAAAGGCCTTGCATCCCACTTTCTTATCCGTTGGGTTTGAAGCAAGAAGCCAGGGAATTCGGGGGTGACAAAACCTCAAAGTTCCACAAGATGGTGATATTTCCTAAAAGAGTCCAACAGACTAGCACTAGATTGGTTAGGGAACTAGGCGGATGTGGCTAAAGGGGTAAAAGAGTTTTAATGCTGCAAAAAGAAAAAAGAAAGAATCAAAAGAGGCTGAAAGGTCTTGCATTTAGAGGAGAGTTTGTCGTTTAAAAGAAGAAAAATAGAGAGAAAGCTGCTTTGACCTTTGATTCACTAATTTTTCGAAAAGGCAGCACAAGACAGCCATGTTTATAAAAATTTACAGGGCTTTCCTGGTGGCGCAGTGGTTGAGAGTCCGCCTGCCGACTCAGGGGACCCGGGTTCGTGCCCCGGTCCGCGAAGATCCCACCTGCCGCGGAGCGGCTGGGCCCGTGAGCCATGGCCGCTGAGCCTGCGCGTCCGGAGCCTGTGCTCCGCAACGGGAGAGGCTACAACAGTGAGAGGCCCGCGTACCGCAAAAAAAAAAAAAAAAAAAAAATTTACAATGAGGCAAGTGACATAAAATGTCCCTGATATCAATGTGTGCAAAAAGAGTCCAGTTAGATGGCAGTATTCCACAAATTGGTCTTCATATTCAGTGAAATCACTGTCAAAATCCTCACTGCCCTTTTTTTTAAAAAAAATGTTATTTATTTATTTTTCTGGCTGTGCCCCACGGCATGTGGGATCTTAGTTCCCTGACCACCGATTGAACCTTCGCCCACTGCAGTGGAAGCACAGAGTCTTAATCACTGGACCACCAGGGAAGTCCCCTCACTGCCCTTTTTACAGAAATTGACAAGCTGATCCTAAAAGTCATGGACATGTAAGGGACTTGGGAGAGGCAAAATAATCTTGAGAAAGAAAACCAAAGTTGGAACACTCACACTCCCCAATTTTAAAACTTACTACAAAGTACAATAATCCAGACAATGTAGTACTGCCATAAGGATAGACAGTTCCGTGGAATAGAATTGAGAGTTCAGAAATAAACCCTCACATTCACGGCCAGTTGATTTTCAACAAGGATGACAAACAATTCAATGGGGGAAAAATAGTCTTTTCAACAAATGGTGCAGGATATCCATTAGCAAAAGAATGAGGTTGAACCCATAATTCATACCATATGCAAAAAATTACTCAAATTTGATCAAAGACTGAAATGTAAGAGTTAAAATCATAAAATCTTATAAGAAAATATAGGTGTAACTCTTCATAACCTTGGATTAGGCAATG